ACTTCTTGATATTCCACACAATGGTCCCAAGGTCTAGTCAAAGGCCCCTGAATGTGCCAACAATTCTGCACATGCTGATCTTTGACCCACTAGAACTTTAGGTACACCACCATTGCCTGCCTAGAGACTAGCTAATTATTTTTCAAGATACACTTCGTCTCTTTGAAGCCATTGAGACTTCCCAATCTTGCAGTGAATTAATAATGATATTTCACTTATAACACTTGGCTTTTCAATTAGCTTTATTTTTTTTAGAGAGAGAGATACTCACTATAGGGCATGTGTGCTTGCCAGAGAGACAGAGACAGGGAGACAGAAGGCGAGAAATCATCCCTCGGCGGGACGGCCACACCACAATCCCTTCTTCTACACTCTTCTCTTGGGAATTTGGGCACACATGCACAGGTGACCAGAGTGAGGTTTAAGCCACCTAGTCCAGGACTTGAACTGTGGTCAACTACATAGGAGTCTAGCAGTGTAACCGTTATGCCATCTGCTGGTCCCTCAATTAACTTTTAAAATGCCTGCATTGCTCTTTGGTGGGTACTTTATCTTAGGCATCTTATTATGCTCAGAATGTACTATAGCAGGAAGTATGCTGTCATACCTATATACCTTCATCTCAACCAAATTGACATGGACATCAACAGAGTTACTCACTAAAGTAAAATTCATATTCTCTGCCTTCTTCAGAAGATGGCATCATTAGCATCTCACTGGACATGTTCTGACATGTTCCTACTCTATGCAAGAAAAATATGGCCCTAGCTTTTCAAATACTACAGATAGTGCCCCAAACTTCCACTTACAGTAAAAATATCTAACAGTAGGTACAATTCAGAGCGAAAGGCCTCTATTTCCAAATCAGTAATCTTGCAAAAACTGCCTTGAAAATGTGGAGAACAATTCTAAATTATAGAAAAAAAGTGATGGAATGGATAGAAACCTTTGAGAATATGACCAAAGAGTAACAAATCTCTCAGCCACAACTAAGGAGAAACTTAGTATTTAACCAGAAATTAAAGTCTGGTTGTGAAAATGTTGCCCCAAAATTTTTGTTGCAGACTTCGAATGGTTTAGTAGGTTCAAATTTATCTGAATCTTCACAGGATCAAAGGGAGCAGAGAATATAAACATTTTAGCT